GCCCGTTTTTCAAAGCTACGCAACTGTAGAGGACGTGGCACTGTGGAAACCAGAGTAGATAGCTCCCAACAAAAGCCAGTCAGTCTCCTGGCTGCTCGGCCAGACTGCTCAGAGCCCTGGCCCACGACATAGGACTTTGTGGGTTATAGCTTATAATGTATACAGAATTTCTTCACTTGAGTGTCTAGTATAACGTAGGACCTACTGGTCCCTCTGGTTGAAGTGACGTGTTAAAAATCAGCAGCTTCTTGATGTCGGAACTCTGAGCCAGGTATTTGGAGAACAGAAAATTTAAAAAAACAACAAGCTCATTCACAAACTTCACTTTATCTGCCCTTCCACAGTTCAAGGCTCCTTGGGGTAACTTCCAATTATTTGCTCAACAGAGGACGCTCTTTCACTCAGTGTTCTTTTCCAAAGACCGGGGCTACAGAGGTTCAGGTGGGTCTGTGTTAGCCTCGAGGCGTGTGCCCAAGTGAACAGACTCATCTCTGGGTGGTGAGGGACACAGAATGCTTATCTCCCAGTGGACTCTTGAGAGTCCTCAACCTGGAGATCCTGGGGTCCGAGTCTCTCAGTGTAAAGTCACCTCAGCTTAGATCCCAGAACCCTGGCTAGGGGCAGTGAGGGAGTGGGAGAAGGGACAGACACACACACACAGAGAAGCTGGGATCGATCGGTTGGGGTTCTCTAACCTACATGGCCACTAGTGGGAACCTCAGCATGCTCCTGCGGTACAGCACAGGGGGAGGGGCTGGCTAGTCTGGGAGGAGATCCCTGTGAGCCTGCAGTCTGAGGATGTAAACATGAGGAGGAAGCCGCAGTCAGTTGCTAGTCCTTGTATACACTGATCAATTGTCTATAAACACCCATACTAGGAGTCCCGTGGAAAGCCTTGCCCATTTCCCGTGGGCCATTTGGTTTTGGAGTCCTTGACTGGCTGTGCCCATGTTAAAACACACATTCACTCAGGACTTCACAGGGCTTCCTCTGCTCCCTACATCTTGGCCTGAAACTTGGTGACAGTAGGGGCTGTATAATGACCTAGAATAAGGTAACCATAGCAACTAATCAATTCTAAATGGAGTGCCTAAGAAGATGCCCTCAGCTAATAAAAGAGGAAACAAAACTGGGAGAAGCTGAGGAAACAGGGGGTTAGCTGGACCCTAAGAGCCCCCAGGAACAGCAGTGTGAACCCACAGCCTCCATTTCTGCCTTCTCCCCACCCCACGCCCCTAGCTCCTGCCCAGTGCTCTGTCCCTTCCATGCCCCATGAAGCAGAGCAGGTGAACTGATGCTGCAAGCCAAAGACACGGAGTTGTGTCTGTCGATTTGGTAGCAGGCCTCTGACCAGATGGGTCTCTATTTCATCCTTCATCAGCCAGAGAAATGACTTCTCTAAGTGCCCATTCCATCATCAGTCAAATGAGGATCATAAAAGACTTGCTTCCTGGGGCTGTTGTACAGATAACATGAGCTGGTCCTGGAAGGTCCCCAGGACAGGTTTGGGGGGCAACATGAAGTACTATATAAATGTTAGTCTTAGGGGGTAACCAACCCAGATCCCATCTCTCAAATATGCCCGATTTAGTTCATTTGCTTAACTCAAATTTTAAAATTTAAAGTTTAGTTTTATTTCTGGGCACAAAATGACACAATGTATCAATGTAAAAATATTTTAAGCCGCAAAAAAGTAAATTATAAAGAAGATAGTAAATATTCCCTAAGGAGTAAACCTCTACATAATTGTTCTCTGATTTTTTGTTTTGTTTTTTGAGGAGCATAGTTCACGGTGCCTCTCTGGACACAACCACAGAAATGTACTTCTAAATAAGTACCATTGTGTTATAACTCACGTTAATGAACTAATAACAAACATATTATGGACATCTTTTCCTTTGAGACTGACAGGGCTTTCTTTGTCTGGGAACACCATATTTATTTAAGCCACTTCAAGTCAGGCTTGCCTTTGACATGGTGCCCGAGAAAACAATTGCATTTCAAAACACTGCATAACCGGCTCTGAACCCTTGTCTACTTTATCTGGACAGACACCTGTGGGAAATGGACTAGACAGGTGGTGAGATGCCACTGATAAAGCTGTGGTTGTTGCAGCATCTCAGGGTGCAACTGTGGGAAAGCATCTAGGCTGGCAAACAGTTTGTGGATGGGTGAATGTTTAGAGACTGTTCCTGCCCAAGGGTTTTAAAAGTGTCCTTAATAGGGTGGACTTCTTCTTTTATTTTTGTTTTTAGGCCAAGAGGGGAGAACCAACTTATCTTGTTGGGCCTCCAGTGCCCTACATTTTTTTTCTTCTGAGTTTCTGCCTTTCCTAGGAAGACAGGTTAGGGGATTTTAATTGGCTGGAAAATGTCATATAACTTTTGAGAAACCTTTGAAGGTTCAGTGTCTGCAGTATTTTATTCCAAACAAGTTTGGGATGAATTTCTCCATCACCCCAATCCCTCCTTATTCCCTGGGGGAGAACTCTGGGCATCTTTAGCAAATGAGGCCAGGATATTAGGTTACAAACAGGATGGTGACTGCAAGCTGCATTGGCTTCTATGGACTGAAGAGCAGAAATAGATAATATCAACAAGGGGAAACATGGCTGTGAGATGACGTATCAAGGCCTGCTCAGCTTGACCTGGCTCTTTTTGCAAGTGGAGGAAGGAGATTAAATGCCTGGACCTTCAAACCAAAGGTCAAAAGTCTCCCCTCTTCCTCCCAGAAACCAAAGGCCAGCTTGTACCTGCCCACTTCATCCTGGCTTCCACCTTTTTTTCCATCCACCACCACAGAGGACTAGGCAGGCACATCCTATCCCCAGTGGCCACTTGCAGCCCTTGCTAAGGAGAAAAGCAGAAACATAGGCTGAGCTTTGCCGAGCTGTAAACATTGCCAGACAGTCCCAACTGCTTTGCACATATCCACCATTTCACAACCCAAAGAGAGAGACACCGTCATCAGTCCCACTGTATAAGTAGAGAAACTGATGCCCAGTCAACAGACTGTTGATGGTTGCAGAAGGAATGAGACAGCATCATCTGGTTCTGGGTATTTTTCACTCATCATTGCTTCTCTTCATTGTTAGGACAGGGCTGGCTGGTCATAAAGAGACCTGTGATGCTCTCTTCAACCAGCCCTCCTAGGAAAACAGAACAGCAACTCCAGAAGAGCTAATCTTGAGCTCAAAGTAAAACCTCAAGAGTGATGAAAAACTTCCCAGCATAGTAGTGGATGGTAATCCCAGCCAACAGCAGGCCAAGGTCTATCTACAGAAACAAAAAAAAACAAACAAACAAGAATAAACAGCAACAAAAGCATCCACCATCCTCAAAAGAGGCTCAAACAGGGGCCTTGAGTGGAGCCCACCAAGCCTGGGAGAGGAATGGGGGAAATGTGAGTGGCGAGTGGATTTGTGGTGCTATCTGACATTCCAGTGCTTTGTCTCAGAAATGGGATTCTAGGAAGGACATCTTTGCTTTCTCTCTTGCCTGGGTCCTTTCCTTTTTGCTTCCCGTTTCTGCTGCCTCCTCTTCACAGGTGAGCTCCTTCACAGCCAACAGACACAGACACACTAATTTCTCCTGAGGCACATGTTCTCTGTATCACGTATACACAGTTTGTCTGCACAAATTTAATTTTCTAGGAGTGTGATAAAGTAACCTGATTTTACTATGCATTTTAAAACACACGTCCAAGTTCATATTATGACCCCAGTACTCAGGAAAACACCTGGGCCAAAGGAGGTAGGTTAGAGTCAGGGGCCTTTAAGCTGCCCCTTGGTATGATGTGGTGAGAATGAAGAGAAGCTATGGCCTCTCTTATGTTATGCTGGCTTGTGTTTGTAATCTCAGTACTTGGGAGACCGAGACAGGAAGACTGTTGATAATTCAAGCCCAGCCTGCAATATATAGGGAGTTCTAGGCCAGCCTCAGCTAGCATGTAAGATCTTGTCTTAAAAACAGAAGCAAACTCGGGAGGCAGAGGCAGGCAGATCTCAGTGAGTTTGAGGCCAGCCTGGTCTCCAGAGCGAGTGCCAGGATAGGCTCCAAAGCTACACAGAGAAACCCTGTCTTTGAAAAACAAAACAAAACAAAAAAACAGAAGCAATACGTCATTTCACACGAGTTTACCTGTATAAGACCTACACCTGTCAAAAGTCACTCTTGGTGGATGAGCTACTGGCAATTGTTGGCTGCTAACATGGCTGTTGGTAGAGTGTTCACACCCAAATGGATGATGACCTCACACCAGGTCTATATGGGCAGCACTAAATGGATTCAGGATTAATAATAACACCAACAACATTGGAGAGGAGTCACAGTGGGACATTTAGGGGAGTTGGAGAGGTGTAGTGGTGGATAGATATGATCAAAATATGTGTATAAATGTATAAAACTCTTATTTTAAAGAAACAGAATGAAGAGGCAGAAAGGTGAGCAAAGGATGAAGTCAGAAAACCATCATGCAATGGACAGGGAGAAGACTGACATCATTTGAGGGGTGCCTACTCTAGAAAGGGGGCATAGTACCCTTTGCTTATGGATACAAAGGATTCATTCTCTGACCGTGCCCACACTGGTAGCCAACAGCCCCTTTCTCTCAGTAAGAGAGTTTTATTTGGCAAGACATGGTATTTTAACAACAACAACAACAACAAGATGTTTGCTATCTCTTTTTGTGTGTGTGTTTGGGGAGGTGGGGTTGGAGACAGGGTTTCTTTGTGTCTTTGTGTAACAGCCCTGGCTGTCCTGGAACTCACTGTGTAGACCAGGCTGGCCCCAAACTCAGAGATTCACCTGCCTCTGACTCCCAAGTGCTGGAGTTAAAGGCGTGCGCCAACACTACCTCTTTCTGGGTGTGTGTGTGCATGTTGCACACACATGTGCATGTAATTCCCATTTCCAGTAACCTGAAGTTCAAACCAGAGCATTCTCAGAATTGTCTTGACTTTTGGGGAAGTAGCTTCCTGAATCTTACCTATCCACGCTCACCCCATGTTGGTGATGTCATAGTCAAACTTGAATTTTCCCAACCCTCTCCGCAGAATTTCCCAGTGTCTCCCTTTCACGAAATCTAGGTAAGTATCAAATAACTGTTTTTCTTCGCTCCATGATCTACTTTCATCCATAATTTGCGGCAATTTAGACTTTATAGAACCATTTTCTTTACAGCTCCCCTTATCTTTACAGCTTAAATCTTTGGATCCACCCACCCAGAAACATGACCATGTCTTTCCAGGCTGTATCGTGAAATTTTTACTTTTGGAACAAATAAAGAATCCATGTTCTAGGATTCAGAAAGGACATAAACAATTACAAGGGTCCATCTCATCTAAATAGGAACACAGACCAGAAGTAGGGCTAGAGGGGAGAAATACCCAGTCTGAAGCAAGTCTCTCTGGGGACACACCAGAAGGATGAACTCAGTGTCAGGATCCATGGGCTCCCCAAGGTTCCCTCCCTACTGCCAGCTTTCCCCAAGCTATGACTCCCAACACCAGCTATTGCCTGCTTCCATGGCCACCTGAAATGTTGCTTCTGTAGCAGAACCAAGCTCATAGTCCTATTGATAATGCACCTACATAAAAGCCATTAAACGTTTCCCCTTGCATTAAGAGCAGAACCGAACCGTATTGTGTGTCTTGGGGACCTGCATGGTGAGCTTTAGACTCCCACCTTGCGTCCTCACTTTCCCCTGAACTTGATACACTCAAGTCCACTTTGTTACTGCTTTGGTGAATACTGTACTTCTGGGGCTTCATTAGGTTATGAATAGGGAGTCCAAACAAATTTACAAGAAGTCCCTGGCCTGCCCATTCTATTTAAAGTTGCCTCCCAACTCAGCTACCCAGCTCTGGTTAGTATTTTGTACTGAAGTGGCGGCTCTTTTTTTCTGTGATTTATCTGCACATTCATGTCTCACCTAGAATGTGAGTCCCCAGAGAGCAGGAGCCTTGTTCTTTGATCCCCCGGATTTCCCTTCTTCATTCCCAGTATGTATTGGAAACCTGACATCTAGTAAATGTCCCATGTTACTTGGCTGAAAGAATGAATCTTTTTGTTTTTTATTTTTTTCAGCTCCAAGTTTACTGTTGCTTAAGGAAGAAAGTCACAAAACAAAGATGGCAGCTGGGTTTCATTTAAAAGCAATCAATTAAAACAGCTGGACCACATAGCTGGTTCCCGGTAACAGGGCTGGAAGTACACCTAAGAGTTCAACTCTAAATGTAGTGATTTCATGGACTTGGTTATCTTATGCCCTTTCCTTCACCAGGGCTGTGAAAGTGGAGCATGAAGAGACCAAGAGGATTGCTGCTGTACTCCTATCCAGGGACCATGCCACCTTGGGTAAGTGATAGAGGCTTCGGCACCCTGCCTTGGGAGATTGTGACTGTAGAGCCCTAAATGAAGGTGTCAGCACTGACTCTAGGGTTCTGATGATTCTACTCCAGAAAGGTGCATGAAGAGGTCTCCAAGCTCTGTCACGTCAACATCATCCGTGTTGGTGACCTGCTGGGTTTCTCGGTTCTCGATAAAATCCCAAAGCCACACTGAATTAAAGAACCTCACAGTGCCTTCAGAACTCAGCTGCTCCCGAGGTTTCTCTGGCTCTGCCAGCCATCCATCCAGGTAAGCACGGCACTTGCTTCCAAAGGGACAGGTCCCTTTTCCTTGCTCAAAGTATTTACATGCCTTTTCCCCATCCCCTGTTTGAAAGCTTCAATCAATTCATTCTTTTGATTCTGATCTTCTACCCAGTACACACTTGGAATGACAAACTCTGATATCACAGGACACTCTGGACAAGACTTTATGATCGGGTTTTCAAACTGCTTGGCGCATCTCCATTGGCGGATGCGGGACAGACCGTAGGTGTGGCTGCAGCTGGAGAGAATGCCAAACCTCTCAGGTGCAGATGCCTGCTCCAAGATCACCTCCATACAGATGCTGCACACTTTGTCCTGGCTTGCTTGGAAGGCAAAAGCCTTTTCCATCTCATGTTCAAATGTCGACATACACATCTTCTCATGAGCTTTCCTTTGTTCTGGGTCAAAGGGGTGCAGGACTTGAAGCCTGCAGATCTCACACATGTCCCCATGCAGTTAGACACAGGCATCTCCAAACCGGCACTCCCCAGCAGCAGCGTAGGGGCACAATTGCTGCTCGTTGCTGCTATAGTAGCTGCTGGCCTCCAAGTCGTCCAGGCCAGCCCTGATAGCATCTAGATAGGAATGGGGCTTCATTTCCGGGCTGGTCTGAGGATCACTGCAGCTACCGGATTATTCACTGTGCTCGGGACACTCTTTTCTTCAGCCAGGCCAGTGAGATTTCGGTCTCTCAGCACCAGCGTCTTCTTCTCTCGCTTCCCCGGTTCATGCAAATGTGTCCTCACAACAGATGTGGCAATGACAGCAGAAGGGTGAGGGCTGGGCAAGCCTGAGGATGGCAAAGAGTAGCAAAGGATGCTGCAGCTGGGGGCTTTGTATGATCATAACTGCAGCGTGCACCCTATATAGGCACAGTAGCCCTTCTGGTAGTATTTGCAGATGGTGGATGGCTTGCTTTTTGCCAGGTCATGTGAGAACAGGCACTGGCTGCCTTCTTGACACACGCCATGCATAAAATACCTGCAGGTGACCTGCTTGGTGCTCATGGGCTATGGGCTTGAGTGGCTCTGAAATCTTATAGCTGCCAGCGCCAAGACCCAGCCCGGCCCCGCCGCGCCCGGCGCAGGCAGTCGCATCACTCTCGAGCGCACCACCCCTGAGCCTGCATCACCTGTCTTCTTCTGGTCTTTCTAAGCCAATCCTAACAAATTTCCAAGATTTGGGGTCAAAGTAAAGCAATATATTACTTGAAGGAAACACCAGTTTTTGGTTTTAAGACCCCAAAAGAAAAATTTTTCCTAGTAAATCCTAAAAATAATAAAATTTTTAAAAAATGAAGGATTCTTCATTAGTAGTCCTAGACTATAGGGAATAAAATAGCGTCAAAAAACGTTTTGAGGCTAGAGAGATGACTTAGTAGTCAAGAGCACTGACTTCTCTTCCAAGGGACTCAGGTTCAATTTCCAGCGCCCACAATGTTGCTCACAACCTAATGTAACTCCAGTCCTAGGGGATCCAATAGGCACTGCACACATAAATACATTCTGGAAATACTCATTACATAATAAAATTTCAAAAAATGTCTAGAAACTGTTCTTAAACAACTCAAAAGAAAAGATTCAGTAAAGCCTACATTCTATAAGTATCACAACTTACTGTAGGCTTTACATAGGACCTGAGCAATAGTTAGTTCCCATACCCCACCTTGCCCTCGCTTTACATGTATACACCACCTTCTCCTGGGCAAATAGATAGTTTTTCCATTATTGTCAGGCTCCACCAGGTGTGGCTAAAATTCCTTTGCAAGGAGATGTAAACATCTACTCCTCTTTTTACATCTAAGTCCCAGCAAGAGAGGTGCAATGGCCCTAATTCACTCTTACAGAACAATGAGTGAGCAGTTAAGGGCCTGAAAGTTGACTGCCCTAAAACAACCATGCTAGAACTTCCGAATTCAGTGTGGATGACTACCCCAGGACCAGAATATGGAGTTGTCTCCCCTCCCCCCTAAACCAGCCTCTGTCCTTTCCTGAGGCCATGGGCAATTAGGGTAGAATTGTAAACAGCTGGGTGGGAGGTGTGGCTCCAGACTGCCATGACCCTCCCTCCCCGCCTCCTCCTGTGGGAAATGCTAATAGCCAACAAACCCAGCTACAGCAATCTTATGCAAGCGGGCACAGCTGGACACATGAAGATGATGGTAGTTTGGCTCAGAGGATAGTCCTGTACACTTTGTGTGACTGTCAAGCAATGCAATGTGAGGAAATTCTGTGTGCCCTTGTAAAACTCTGCTGAGATTTTCTATGCTTTTAGTCCAAATAGTTACATGGGGCACTCCAGGGAAAACTCAAAACCCTGAGTTAAAGGGACTTGAGTCACTGTTCACCTGTGTCCTTGAATGACTACACTGCTTGCCTAGGTGGGTGTATTGACTCTGTTTGCTGATATGAATTTTATTTCATGTCTAAGACTGAACATATATATTCTTTTACCAATTTATATTTACTCAAAACAATGGTTTTACTTGTGTTACCTCATGAAATTGCCCTAGTAAGTATCTTCTAACCCGATGCTATCGCTGGCTCCAATGCGTATATGAGGAGATCAAGACACAGGCTTAAATAACATATCCAAGTTCAGATGGATAAGCAGAAGCATAGCTATAATCCAAACCAGATCTAACTCTGGCTCATGATCATCCTGCTATTATGTTTGAGAGTTTTGTTACATCCTTCGATGATATAGATTTTTAATGAGCTAAATAAATAAATAGATCAAACTTTAGTCTTTCTAACAGGTTTGAGACCTTGGGAAATACTTTGACATTTGGCATGGAAGGTTTATGGACTCTAATGCATTGTTCCTCAAGAAGCAGTTGGTGTCTGTAGGCCTATCTATAATCTGAATTGCATTGCTACCTGTGACTGACTTTCTTCATTTGATGTCAGTTGCTAGAGTGAGAGGGTTCAGAGATAAGATTTCATGAGTGGGGTGGCCACCTCAGGGTAAGGGTGTAGAACCCAGAGTAGTGATTTTCATGATTAGCATGGGGAGGAAACAAGCCTTTTGTCTCAGTAGTTCCATAGCCTAGAAATGTTAAGAAACAGCCCTAGAGAAAAGTCTCATATATGAATCAGTTGACAGATTTAACAGATAATCTTACAAACAATAACCTGTCCTATGAACCACAACAACCATCATGGTAGAAAAACCCTAAGGATGCAGTAGTGGCTTGTTACGATAAATCTTTCTGCCAAAAGCCGCTGAGCCCCACTGCCACGTGTGAGCTCTCCGCCAGCCACCTGCTCGAGTTAGGGCCCAAATTAATGCACAGAGAGACTTGTATTAGGTACAATGCTGCTTGGCCAATGACTAGGATTCTCATCTGTTAGCTCAGTCTTAATTATCATAAATCTATATATTTTATAAGACTTATTTTATCAGACGCCTTATTGGCGTCCCTCCTTGCCGGTGGATCACATTGCTCCGCTGGAGGAAGAGTGGAGGGGAAAAGGGACGCT